TAATTTGCTTGGACACAAGCAAATTAAGCAGAAATAAAATACTACTACCCACATCACTACTCCCAATACCAAGATCTTTCTTAGCGGTCAGCCACCGCAGAGTCTACTTCACCTGAGGATGCCTCGTGTAGTGGCGAAACACGTGTCGTATTATCGACGGTAGTGTGTCTTTCCTAATTTAGTGGTGATGGGAGTAGTGGTGCTGGGATTAGTGGTGACGGGGATAGTGCACGCAATAGAGGGAGGACGGGAGGTGCTCGTCAAACTAGGTAAGAAACATCATTTTGTTTCATTACCAGATTCTATTGATTAAATATCTTTAGTGACAATTGAAGTATATAAAGTATAAAAAAAACTTAGTGACAACACACAATCATTTGTTACTGATTGTAGATATAAGTAAATCTAATTTTGTTTCTAACTAAAGGCTTCATGTCATAAGTACCTTAATGTGTTATTTATTTTTCAGTAAACATTTCGAAAAATGACTGTCAACAAAAATAGAAGCTTCATTTACAAACAAGTGGCATTATTTCGATTAATTTATTGATTTTAAACACATAGTTCACCATAACATTCACAAAAGCAATCAGTATAGTTATTATTACTATTGTTTTAATTTCTAATACCTACTACCACAATGAGGGTACCTACATTATGCAGATCAATATGAGTTTTTGTTCTTTAAGCGTCTCCCACACACAAGCGGCTTACGGTGGCGGCTAACCGCGGGCCGCGGCTGCAGCCGCTGTAACAACACACCACCGCGGCCCATGTGGCGGCCTGAAGCGCCATTCGCTGAGGTGTCTGTGTTACGATCGGACGTACGAACATGAACAAACCGTGACGAAGTCTTTATTATATTCAGCAATATTATCATATATTTTGTTTTAATACTAATGCTTTTGTGATCACGATGCGAATTATCATAAAGTACTAGATAATTTTGCACTGTTTCTAATAAAATCTTTGAATTTAGCACCATTTTTCACGCGGTACATGCGGCCTGTTGTAAAAATTTACAATCGACCGCGCTGCAGCCACCGACTGACCGCGTACTCGCTAACACATACGCGTTGGCAAATGGGGCGGAGCATGCGGCCGCGGCCAGCCGCTGGCAGGCCGCGCGATGGCCGCACGAGTTTACAGACTCACTTACATTGCAAGCGAATACAACTGGCCGCCGCCGCGGCCGCTGCCGCAAGCCGCGTCTGTGTGGGAAACGCTTTACAGAACACCCCAGATTATATCTATAATTTCTTATTCTCTTATCTTATCTCACGAATGACATAAGAACATCATACATTATAAAGGAACGCAAATTCTCCTTACCACCTTCTACCCCATTTTAAATACTGTTGTCACAAAAAGCCGACCGTTATGAAAATACCCTGCGATCCTTAAAAATATAGGTAATGTCTACACAGATTATGCTGCTTGCACTAATCAAGATCTGTTAACACATACTATTCCAATGATTACGCTAATTCTTCATCATTTTCATTTAGTAATGACGATCACAACAAACCAATACTACTCTTCTGGCCATATCTCAACATTTCTTAAGGTGGAAAACGACAAAAATAAAAATAGATCAAAAAACTGAGAATGGAGAATAAGGAAAACTTACTGAAAAACAAAAATGATTTTAAATATAATTAGGTAAGGTGCAAATCGAAATTCTGTGAAAACAAGTCAGACTAGAATGTGTAATAAATTAAGCGATAAATCCCGTGAACTCATTAATAATAATCTTGGGAATAATCTCAATTGAGACTAGAATAAGGCTGGAACCACCGCAGCCAATAAAACCTACATTAGTCAGCTTTAATAGCAATATTTATTAACTGACATGTTATCTCAGAAATCGTAATTTGACGTACAGGTCTTAGTAATAGTAAAACTATAAATAATACTTTACAATTAATAAAAAATCCGGATGATCATTATTTGCCAACAATCGGTTTTTTTTGCCTAATGAAAAATCAGCATTCATACACTTAGGAGGTATTGGCACTTCATCGACGATAAAATTTAAATTAACTTTGTGTGAATTTTCTTTGTGCGTGGTTTTAAGAGATTTTATAAAATGCGCGTGAAAAAACGACGTAAAAGCCATATAAAGTCTTTCAACCTACTTAGCGTCCGGTATCTTAAAATTTTAACCTAGTTTTAGTAAATTGTTAGAAAGGTTCAAGGAAATTTAATACCGTGTAAAAGTATTTGCCATATGCGACTTTTAAGAAACCGCTATGTGTTTCTTTGAGCCAATTACGAAAAATAGTTTACGGTAAAAATATTTTCCACCCGAGTGTGTGTACAAGCACAAGTGCACTCTCTGTTCCTTCACTCATATAATCCGTTAGGGTGGCAATCCTACATGAGAAGAGAAAGATCCGACGTAGGACCAATGGCATAACGTGTAACTTTCTGAGGCACGGAGGTGAAACACCGCCAACTACCTGACTCTCGTTTGCTGCTGAGAATTTCTGACTTTTTATCGATCTGGAATTCGAACCGGGGACCTCAAAATCAAAAATCGCACTTAAAGTAGCGTGGTGTTAACGCTAGAGAGACATTCTTAATAGCATTAGTCTAAAAACAAGCGTCCAGTTCACGTTACGTGACACTGACAATCGATAAACACCAGAAAAAAAAAACAGCATTACGTTTGACTTTCTTTAGTATATTTTCCTTTATAGAAATATATTATTTTCTGGAAAATATTTCAGTAAATTACAGAATAAGTGGAAACTTTGTACGAACTCACTATATGATTGTATCTGTGACATGTTGTGTGTACATAAATAAATTAAAAATAATTAAAAATTAAAAATTTTGTACAACCAACTTTAATATAAATTATTAAGAATAACTCAAAAACTCGACGGCTCCGTGGCGCAGTGGCTTAGCAATGAGTTACTGCGCTGGGGGTCGCGGGTTCGAACCCCGCACGGAACAAGTATTTGTATGGCCTACAAATAATTGTTCCGGGTCTGGATGTTTGTCCTTGTGCGATTTGTGTTTGTAAACTGCCTCCACGATACAGGAGAAAATCCTAGTGTGGGGGTAACGTTTTTAAAAAAAAAAACAAAAAAAAAGAACTCAAAAACTATTAGTCAAACCTTGATCAAATTTATATGGGACCACATGTGAAACCTCAGCTTTCAAATTAAAAAAAGAATCATCGAAATCGGTTCACCCAGTAAAAAGTTATCAGGTAACACACATAAAAAATAACATACAGTGGAATTGAGTACCGGCTCCTTTTTGAAGTCGGTAGAAAAAAGAACAAAGAATGTCACAGTTGGGAATTGGCTAAAATGCCTCCATAGTCGGAACTAGGTGGTGTAGAATTGCTTTTCGGCCGAGGTGACCATCTGGGTAGGTACCATCTTATTATCTTTTTTCTGTCTCCAAGTAGCAGTGCTTGTACTATTGTGTTCCAGTCTGAAGGAAGAGACATTATAGTTACAGACTGTGAGGCATTCCATCTGAGTCCTCAGAGGTGACAACACATCCATAGTTTTCTTTGTTTGAAGTGTGCTGCAGGTGTCTATGGACTGCAATGACCACTTACCATTAGGTAGATTATAAGTTCGTACGTCCCATTAATTTTATAAAAACCAATACATTAAGTATACTGACTTCAAAATAAAACCAAAATTCACCAGATTCACACAGGGGGATCACCGCCACTCACAGTAAATTAGATAGAAAGAACTCTTCCAATAATTAATAGAATCAGGCGTTACTTTACGGAAATCCACTGTATTAAAGATATTTAAAATATATGTAACATCTTAGCGGTCAGCTACTACAGTCTCCACTTAAGAATGCCTCGTGTAGATGCGAAACACGTACAGTATTTTCGACGTAGTGTGTCTTTGTTAGTGGTGTTGGGGGTAGTGGTGACGGGAATAGTGCACTTAATTGAGGCGTTCTTCAAACTGTGTAAGACACTCACATCCTAATTAATTAATTTTTAACATCTTTAATTTCCTTCTTCATCATCATGATGAGTTCGTAAAAGTAGCAACTGGTCTAAATAAGTAAAGTCTTAATACGCGCAAACTCTATTTATTTATCTAATGAAAGTCACAGTAACCACTATCGTCATTATTGCAGCTTAACAATAGTCCACTGCCGAATATAGGCCTACTCCATAGATAACCACATAGTCATGTTTTACGTGGTAGAGCCATGCTGCAGCTATATTACTGGTATAGTTGTAGCACGAATAGGTCGGCTAGACCAGGGAAGGACCACGCTCTCACAGAACACCAGCGTAAAATACCAGCTTAATTGTGCTGTGTTTCGTACTGGAAACGAGGCATTCCATCTTAGTCCTTACGGGTGACGACGCATCTGCATTTTGATTTGTAGTCGAGGATAGATGTAGATATCTATGGGCGACAGCAACCACTTACCATCAGGTGGACTGTGTGCTCTTTTGTCCCTTTAAAAAAAACTCAAAAAAAATATAGGGATCCCCCCTAGGAGGTGCTAGGCTTAGCAGGCGGGAAGGCAACGAGAGATTATTTTATTGTTATTAGGAACATACTGCTGGCCAACCCCTGTTTAATTTCCCTTTGACGGCTCTAACGACACCCACGAGATGATATGCAGTTGGGGATATCTTACGCTGTCACTACACTACACTGGTTTTTTGTACTTTGACTGACAGCCTCATTGGTCACGGTTTCGATTCTCGAGTCGAGTCAAAATCAGTTATTGGTTTTATCGGTCAACAAATTCTTATTAGAAGCTAGGAATTAGAAAGTTGGCGGTGTCTCACCCCCGTGCGTCGGAAAGCACGTAAAGCAGTTGGTCCTACGCCTGGTCTTTCTCCGTTCGTCTCGGATTTACGTCCCGTCAGATAATGAGAGTGATGGAATAGGAGAGTGCACTTACACTCGTGCACTACAATCCTATCCAGCGCAGATGGCTAGACTTCGTTGAGACTGGCAGCCACTGAGCACAACAACAAGTTACGTTACCTGGAAGTACTTGCTAACGACTGGGTCGTTGGCCAGCAGGTGTTGTGCCCTGGGCTCGTCACGGCAGTAGGCCACGTGCTTGTCGAACTCGCGCTCCATCCGCAACAGGGCGCGACCCAGCATTCGAGGCTCCCCCGCGTAGTACTTGATACCTTCTAGCAGGGACCTATAGAAAAATGCAAGTATTGATAGTGTGTCTCGAGTTCAGATTTCATTGAATTGAATTTTAACTCTGAACAATCCTTGACGATTATTGATTTTTCCCTATATTTTTGTATAGTATAAGGGTGACAAACGCGTACACAGTCCATCTGATGCTAAGTGGATGCTGTGGTCCTACATTTCTCCCTAATTAAGAATCAAAATGCAGACGCTTTGTCACCTCTGAGGACTACGATGGAATATCTCATCTCCAGGAAAAAGCGTCGCCGGTTCTCTACAATAACCACACAAAACACAGCAGCATTAAGCTGCTATTTTACGCTGGTATTCTTTGAGAACGTGGTCCTTCCCCAGTCGAGCCGACCCATTCGTGCTACAAGTATACTACTAATATAGCTGCAGCAGGGCTCTACCACGTACAAATGGTAATGCTCTTTTTAATGGAAAGAGGCATTCAGTCGTAGTCGTCAGGGGTGACGACGATTAAAAATTTTGATTCTAAATAGATGTCAATGGGATAACCATCAGGTGTACTGTGTGCTAGCTTGTTACCCTTATTCTATAAAAAGAATAACATTAATTTTGTTGATATTTAGACCTTTATAAATATAATTAATAGAATCAGGCGTTACTTTGGGGAAGTCCATTATATTAAAGTTGGCAAAAAATTACTTCGCGTACATCCGCTCAATAAAATAAAATGATGTGTCTTACATAGTTCGAAGAGCACCTCCCGCCCTCCCTCAATCGCATGCACTATCACCGTCACCACTAATCCCAGCACCACTACTCCCAACACCACTACACTAGGAAAGACACACCACTGACGACAATACGACATGTGTTTCGCCTCTACACGAGGCATCTTCATCCTGAATTCTTTGTCAACTTTAATCTTAAATTAAATATGATAAAGTAGAATCATAGGAATGACCTTGAACGGAGTTATGTGCACAAAATAATTCCTATGAAAGAGATTTACAATTCTGATGCGTTGATACCTGAATAGTTCTAGATGGAAAGACTCGTGCCCTGTAAAGAGGTTCTCCGATTTTCTACACTCATCATACGCAACACAGCAGCTTTATTTTACTACTTTACGATGGTATTCTGTGAGAGCGTGGTTCTTCTCCGGTCATAGCCATAATATAGTTGCAGCATGATTCTACCATGTGATCGCACATAGCACGAGTCCGACTGCTTGGGCGCGTAACGCATAGCGCGTAGTGCGTTAAAAAGTATCGCATTTAGAAACTTTTTTTTAATATCCCTCTCAATAGGATTTTTCCCTGTATAGTGGACTCATATCTAGATCCAGAACAATTATTTGTACACTATACAATCACTTGACCCGAGCGGAATTCAAAACCGCAGCCCCGAAGAACCGCGACCAACCGTTTAACCATTGCGCTACGAAGCCGTTAAATATTTCCGTCACAGGGAGATATTTAAAACAGCTTACTAAGGAGAAGCAGAAATATTTTTTTGAAAATATGTAAGTGTACTCACGTGTTGTGAAACTCGCAGATCTGCTTGAAGTTAGAGAACAACAGATCTCGGTTGTCGAAGACGGGCTTGGGCGTGGTGGCCTTGTCCAGCGGCCGCATGTAGCGCGCCACCACCTGCTGGATGTCGCGCCCGAACTCCTCCTCCGTCTCGATCAGCTCGCGCACCACCGCCCTGGTGGCGAGAACTAGTTAGTATGGACTCCATTTCTGCATAGGAGTTTTTTTTAAAGAATAGAATGACAAACGAGCATACAGTTCACCTGATGGTAAGTGGATGCTCTGGCCAATAGACATCTACGTTTACGAATGAAAACGCAGATGCGTTGTCACATTTGAGGACAAAGACGGAATGATTTCTTATATTTACGCGAACACTACACATTTTTAAATAAAACTAATTTTACGGATTTTATCGCGTATATTAACTTATTTTTAACTTATTTTTATATTCCCGACGTTTCGGGTGCTTTCCAGCACCCGTGGTCACGGGGGACTGAGTTGTTTGGGACAGCAGGACGTCAAACAACTCAGTGCCCCGTGACCACGGGTGCTGGAAAGCACCCGAAACGTCGGGAATATAAAAATAAGTTAAAAATAAGTTAATATACGCGATAAAATCCGTAAAATTAGTTTTATTTAAAAAGACGGAATGCTTCGTTTCCAGTAAGAACGATCTCCGGTTCACTACACTCACCACAACACACTAAAAAGTAATAATAAAGCTATTTTTTCGGATATGATCGCGTTTAATTTTACTTATTATTAATTCCTTGCGTTTTGAGTACTTTGCAGCAGCCCTGCTCACGGGAGCACCTTACATCACCTCAACCCCCGAATATAAAATAAGTTAATAAAACGCGAATACCCCCTTAAAAAACTGCTTTCATTCAATGTGTAGTGTTCGCGTAAATATAAAAAAATCATTATGGCTCTATATGCTGTTTAGACGGGAACACAGCAGTTTACGGTTTTTTTTTAACTTGTTATAAGCCAGTGCTTAACCACAATCCCACCTGGTGGTAAGTGTTGATCGAGCCCTAGGGCTTGATCAACACCATCTAGATGGTAAATAGCACTGTCTTAGCGTAACAAAAGCCTAACCCGGCAGATTCCACACCTTTGCTGTACGCATTTGTAAAGGCGAAGCAAGCCGTTTGGTTTGAATTTCTACTTGACGACAATAATAACGTAGAGCGTGGTACTTGCACCGACGGACTCACACACGGGTTGTAGCGCAAATGGGTCAGCTCGACCGGGGAAGGACCACGCTCTCACAGAATACCAGCGTCAAATAGAAGCTTAATGCTCCTGTTTCATATAGTTAGTGTAGAGAAACGGAGACCCTTTTTACTGGAAACGAGGCATTCTATCTTAGTCCTCACGGGTGACAACGCATCTGCATTTTGATTCGTCATCGAGGATAGATGTAGATGACTATGGACCACAACAGCCACTTACCATCAGGTGGACTGGATGCTCGTTTGTCACTCTTATAGCCGAATCTTTGTGAAGCAAGACAAAAATACTCGTGTTATTCTTATTAATAGTTAAGCCCAGGTACATCAGCTGCTGCAAGGCCTGTGACTAAGTAATGAATTTCTCCTTGGTTTTTGTAATAACACACATACTTTTGGCATGTTGTAGTAATCTATGTTATAGTTCTCTGGCATACTTAACATGTACTATTTTAACAATAGTTAAAATCTGCATAATAAATAACGGGCAGCTAAATTATAATGAAACAAACCAAAGTATTAAAATATCTCCTATAGTTTTTTATTAGTGATCGATGCTCCTATACAATATTATAAATTATGTACTTACACACTTATATATTACACTTACACACATACACACTCATTGCAAAGGTACTCCTACCCACATCACAAACACATCTGCGTAGCTTCGGTGTTTACTTACGTTTATCTGTATCCTCTATACAGGTCCCTCGCATATTAATATGTACAATAGGATTTAGTTATGTAAAGGCTTTGCAGGAAATATACACGAACGTAAATTACAAGCGCCACCATATTACATTATATAATAATAGATAGTAATCTAAATACTTTATTGGAACTGGATAACACTGAAATTGCGAACTCAGCTATAATTAACATCGAAAAATTTCACAATTACCTACTACGGGATAATTGTAGCTTTACCGCTTTGACACAAAATATTAGAAGTATATATAGTTACTTCGATGACCCACAGATAAATCTTTTGCTATTAAAACATGATGTAGATGTGTTGATACCGACTGTAGACTAAATTGTAATAAACAATTACTTTTGCTAAGTAATTACACCTCTTACTACAGTATATATCAGCTTATTCAAAACGATCGTGTGGTTGCATACTTCAAAAATAACCATCTTCATCGGGTTACAGAGGTTAAATTAATACACGCATCTGCTATTCAGGTATCTATCTCAGACTACCATTATAGGCATATACCGTTCTCGATCAAATGAATGTACTGATAATTTTGTAAACACTCTAAATCTTCATCTAGTCAAGTTTACGGGAACATAACATACATAACTATCTTGATACTATCAAAACATAAAAATATAATATTGGTGGGTGACATAAACATCAACTTAATTTCTAGGGATACAGAAATAACTCGGAAACGTAATAATATGTTGAATTATTTGAATATGTTAGCAGGACACGGCCTTCTCCCGGGACATTGTTTACCTACCAGAGGGCAAAATTGCCTCGATCATGCTCTTCTGAAGATCGATAAGTAATTTTTCAGCCTTTGTTGCGGTTTTGAATACTTATATCACAGATCATGCTATGGTAATATTAAACATAGCATCATGGAAACGAAATAGCTGACTATAAAAATCCCAAAGAAGCTTTGGCAAAAAAAAAGTTAAATTACCCAATTTAAAACCCCCAAATCCCCAAATGCATATCTTTTAAACATCACCCCGCATCCACTTAACTCAGTGAATCGTGTAAACCAGTTGTTTGTTAAAATAGGTATAACATTAGCTAAAGACATAATTAATAATATCGGTCCGCCAAATAAAATTGTAACTACACACTCTCGGATTTCTACGTTTGTGCTACTTAACACTGGTAGGGACGGTGTACCCACTAAGTTTTTAAAAATTTTAAGGAATTTTATTGTTCTGTATATATGCCAGCTTGCTAATTTATGCTTCAAAACAGGAAAACTTTCCTGCGGCATTGAAGTGATCCGTGGTAACCCCCATGCACAAGGGTGGAGACGTAAACGATGTTACTAACTAGCGTCCTATATCTGTCTTACCTAGTATTTCAAAAATTATAGAAGTAATATTAGACAAAAGACTCATTAAATATTTACATAAATATAACATTTTATCTAACTCTCAATTGGATTTAGGAAGAACCTTTCCACACAAAATCCTGTTATAGCACTGACAACTGAGATAGTAACCAACGTTGATAAAAGAGTCAAGTGCTTAACAGTATTTTTAGAGCTAAAAAAAGCATTTGATATCGTTTCCGTCCCAATCCTTCTGCAGAGGCTGGAAGCTATCGGTGTAAAAGGTACAGCTCTCTCCTTTTTAAAAAGTTGCTTACAGAACAGAACGCAGCAAGTAAAAATTAATGATCTGTTTAGCGAGGAATAAATCGTAGTTTTCGGAGTCCTACAAGGCAGCGTGCTTGGCTCGATACTGTTCCTGATATATAAAACGTATTTTACCCTGTAAGAGGCGACTATGGGATATGTCAAAAATGTTGTGCTAGACGTAAAACAGGAATGGAGTGGAGTAGTTTCATCTAAGGTACTCAGGTCTGGTACTGTGTATGTCAATCTGACAGCTTCCTAAAGGCAGAGTATCTCTGTTACTAACAGGCTGAGGAAGATGATGATGGAACAGCAGACATACCTGCATAACATGTATATTTTTTTGTAACAATATTGCATTATAATTTAATTGTATCAAGGTAAGTCAGCATATCAAATATAAACGACATTGGGAAGTCATTGAAGTGCTCCAGAATATGCCCCCCTACCCTCTCTATGTAGGCGGGACAGATCATATTTTATCAGTAAACGGCCGCTCGTAAGCAGGTCAGGTGAAGAGACAGCTCGTTGACTAATTGGGCTTGAAATTTATTTATTGCTTCGGCGAGAAATATAACGTTAGGGTGACCACGTTATGTTTTTGTTCGTGTTCGAAAGGATATTTTATGATTTATCAGCATGAAATGCTTTATGTAGTGAATACAAATTGATCCGTCCTGCGATATAGGTAACCCACTCATTAAAGTAAACTCACAAAATCTGAGCTCAGACGAACGAGAAAGAATTATGCGATCATTATGGTAAACTGGTTTAAGCATACATTTTATTTATCTTCGAGAAAAAATTAAATAAATTACTTTTTTTTAAAGAATGAGGGTGACAAAGTAGAATAAATAATAATTAATTCTTTCCGTTATAAACATAAAAAAAATAGTAAATAGATGGACCCTCCTAGTAAGTTTAAGAAAAAACACGTGTCGAGAATCCCCGCTCTTCTTTATCTACAAGAGCCATAAAGCATTTAGTTACATTGTTATTAAAGTAAACTAAAATCACCTGTATTAGACATTTTTTTATAGGATAAGGGTGACAAACGAGCACACAGTCCACCTGATGGTAAGTGGTTGCTGTGGCCCATAGACATCTACATTTATCCTCGATGAGGAATCAAAATGCAGATGCGTTGTCACCCGTGAGGACTAAGATGGAATGCCTCTTTTCCAGTAAAAAGGGTCTGCGGTTCTCAACACTCACCATACGAAACACAGCAGCGTTAAGCTGCTATTTTACGCTGTTATTCTGTGAGAGCGTGGTCCTTCCCTATTGAATAGATTTCAAGGATGAACGATGACTAGAAAAGGTAATTAATATGAATATAACTTAATATAATTGCGAATGGTATGGGTGGTGAATGGCATGTGTGCACGCGTCTGTGTGTTGGGGGGGGGGGAAGGGGGGGAGATATATGAAAAAGGGTGCAGTATTAGTCAAACATCAAGAAAACTTCTAAGCACATTAGGTTTATTGTCCCTTCCTTTTTTTTATCTGTCCTTAAACAGTTTACTGCTATAACGGGCATTACCCTATGGCATAATCGCCGCAATTATTAACAGCAGCAAGTAAATTTGAGATAGCAG